TCACCTCAGCCTCCCAAAGGCGCGGGATTACAGGCTGAGCTACCGAGCCCGGCTTGATTTCATCTTAACTGTGAGGAAAGGGAATCTGAAATTAAGCATATGATAGAGAATATTTGGAGTTTCTTTTATAAGCTACATCTTTGTGAAATCATGAAGACAATTTTATCACAATTACAAGAAGATAATTTTATACATGGAAATTTTTTGGAGGTAGGAAAGACAAAAAAAAGAATTTTATTCTGCCATTCATTTAAAGCAGAAATACCAAATGTTGCATTATAATTTTTTTGCAGCACTGGGGCCTCAACTTTCACATGCATAAGAGTCACTTGGGGGCTTGTTATAAATACAGATCCTTGGACCCCACTCTTTTTAGCTCTGAGTTTTTAATGAAACTCGGGGGATTGTAATACACATTGCATTAGTTAGGGTTTTTCAGAGAAAAAAAGCCATTAGGAAATTTTCTCTCTCTCTCATTTGTCTATTTATGTCTGTCTGTCTGTTTATCTATCATCTACCTACCTACCTACCTACCTACCTATCTATCTATTTATGATTATTATAAGAAATTGGCTTACAGGATTATGGAGACTGAGAAGTCCCAAGATTTACATTTGGCAATCCAAAGACCCAGAAAGCCAATGGCATAGTTCCCATCCAAGTCTGAAGGCTTGAGAAGCATGAAAGATAATGGTTTAAATTCTAGTCCATGTCTGAACACCTAAGAACTAGGAGAGCCAATGGTGTAAGTTCCAATCCAAATCTGAGTCAAAAGCAGAAGACAGGCAGAGAGAATACCAGTTCTCCTTTACATCAGCTTTTTGTTCTATTCAGTCCTTTCGTGGACTGAATGAAGTCCATTTAGATTAGAGAAGGCAATCTGCTTTATTCAGTCTACTGGTCTAGTTGTTAATCTTGCACAGAACACTCTCACAGTCATACTCATAATAATGTTTAATCAAATGTCCAGGCCCCCGTGGCATAGTCAAGTTGACATAAAAAATTAGCCGTGGCACGCATCAGAGTTAAGAGCCACTGGTGTAAAAAGGTGCCTTCCTCCCCTGCCCCCTTTTTAAAGATTTTGTAAGACACACCAACTATATCATAGAAAATAAAGCCACTAGTATAACGAAAATTTTAAAAATGAGTATTTTAAAATAATACAACTGTACTCTTGATCCTTGATCTGAAAATAAATAAAAGTAGAAGTAAAAGTATAATGGATGTATCAAGAGAGATAAAGAAAAAACATTCACTTATTTATTTAAAAACTCAATTTATTTCTATTAGGTGCCAGGGATCATTCTAGGTACTGATGATATGTGAGTGAGGCTGGGTGGATGATCACCCAGTTAAGATGGTCACCTCTCCCAGTCTATCTGACTGAGGTGTTTTTTGAGTCATGAGACTTTCAGTACTATGACTGAGACTGTCCATTATGGTTGGTTACTCTAGTGGAGGGGAAAGGGGGCATATTACTCTGAGAGATGGGAAGACAGAGAAACTAGTAAATGAATAAATGTGTAGTATAATCAGGTAGTGATAAGTGTTATGAAGAAAATCAAAGTAGGGTAAGTAACAGAGAGTAACTAGGCGAGTTATTTAGAACCACGAGATTAGATTTGATACCTAGGGAATAAAGTAAGATAGGAAAGAAAAGCCAAGAGACAATGAGTCAAAAGTAAAGAAGGAGGAAATTCAGTATAATGTGGTGTACTAGAAGCAAATGAATGTATTGTTTCAAGAAGACTCATCAACTCACTGTGTCAGATGCTGCTGAAAGACTTGGATGATAATTTAAATTGGTCATTTAATTTGATAGAATGGTGACAGTTGAATGAGAGGGATAAAAGCTTGATTAGTGAGTTCAAGAGAGAATGGAAAATGTATGTATTAGATTGCTGTAGCAAAGTACCACAAACTGAATGGCTTAAACAACAGAAATGTGTTGTGTCACAGTTGTAGAAGCTGGACGTCTGAAATCAAGGTGTTAGCTGGGCTGTTTTGCTATCTTCCTTCTGAAGGTTCTAGGAAAGGATCTGTTCAGGCCTCTCTTCTAGCTTCTGAGATTTTGGGGGCAACCTTTGACATAATCTTTGGCTTGTGGCAACAGAACTCCAGTCTTCACATGGCATTCCTCCTGAGTGTGCATCTGTGTTCCATTTTACCCTTTTATAAGGACACCAGTTATGGTGGATTGGGGGCCACTCTACTCTGCTATGACTTCATCCTGACTTAGCTATTTATATCTGTACAGCCCTATTTCCAAATAAGGTCACATTCTGAGGTATTGCGCATTAGGACTGCAAAATATGAATTTTAGGGGACACAAATTCAACTCATAACTGTGTGGTATACCCATACAGTAGGATATTTTTCAGTGATAAAAGGAACTAAGTACCAGTATATACTACAACATGGATGAACCTCGAAAACATTAGGCTAAGTGAAAGAAGCTAGTTACAAACAGTCACAATTTATATGGGTCTCTTTGTATACAGTGTTTAGATATGAATTGCCAGGCTTGGAGGCTGTGAGGAATAGGGAACTGACTGCTAATGGACATGGGGCTTTTTGGGGGGTGGTGAACATGTTCTGGAATTAGGTATTGTTAATGGTACATAACCTTGTGAATATACTGAATTATATTCTTTGAAAGGGTGAATTTGATGGTATGTGAATTAAATATCAATTTTACACACACACACACACACAGAGAGAGAGAGAGAGAGAGAGAGAGAGAGAAGCGGGGAGGGAGTTGAGCAGATGAAGGAGTGAAGGTGGCCAGTGTTAACATCTCTTTTTTAGGAAGAAGTACAAAACCATGGCATGATAGATGGAAATGGGTGTGGAGTCAAGGGAGGATTTTTTTTTTTTTAATCCAGGAGATATTATATCATGTTTGTATACTGATTCAAACAAGCCAATGGAAAGAAAAATAATAACGATGCAAGTTGGGGGTGAGGGAATTTTCAGGAGCCAAATCCTTGAGTGCACTGGAATATTAGCTGGAATAACTTTCTTCATGTCTCTTTCCTAGGTGACAGATCAGTCAGTGAAAGCATTTGCTGAGCACTGTCCTGAACTTCAGTATGTTGGCTTCATGGGTTGTTCAGTCACTTCTAAAGGAGTCATTCACCTAACCAAGGTAGGTACCATGACTACTATTCCTTAGTATTTCTGAGTATCAGAAATATGGGCCCTGGATTGTGAAACTTATTTGAATAAGGAATAGTTAGACCACTATAAAAGTCTACTAGTGTTTGATAAAGTTAAAATGAATTTAAGGAAATATCAAACTTGTCCTTTCTGAAATGGGACACTCATTTAAACAAGAAGCTTACCTTTTGGCTTTTTCATTACTAGTGGCCATGAAATGTATACATCAAAGAAATATATGTGATAGGATTCATTTAAATGTTAACTTCATGTGTTGTGCTTAGAAGATATTTTGATTGAATTTTAACTGTTCATATATCACTAAGTCCTATGAATATTTGATTTTAAAAAGTGAATATGGTATGTGCATATGATTAAAGCTGAATATGTAGGTGAAAAGAGAGGTAACTATAAGTAAAAAATTGACCTTATAGCTCGGAGAGTTCACTAATATACCAAATATATGAAGTCTTATATTTTTAGTAGTGATAAAAATATCAACTCTTTTGTAATCTCTCACTGATGTGCCATCTCTACTGCTTTTCAGAGGTCTAAAATAATTAGAAGCTAATTTCTACATCTATGTAAAGGAAAAAGTGGCTACTATAAAATTTACCTGAATATATGAAAGTTGTTACTGCATAGATTTTAATTCTACCCTATACTACTTACAGCATGAGTGTGAGTCTTGTCTTTTCCCACTAAATAATTGAGTAACCTTTTCCTTCAACCTTCCTTCCTTTTACAACTACTAGAAAACTGCTGTGTTAGCAGCACAATGCTGAAACAAACCAAGTAAGATCCTAGGTCTCTCTGGGCTTGATCTCTTCAGGTCTCTTTGGATTTATAGTTTAGTGGAACATAATGTATTTCTTTGGTCCCTTGGAAAAGAAAAAATGTTTACAAGTTACCTAGGACTATGATAGGGTCACAGAGTGGACAGGATTCTGGGCTCCGTTGTCAACTCAGGTTTCTTCTTAGCTCTGACACTTATTAGCTAAGTGGGCAAATTATTTTTTAGGGTATTAAATAAGGTAACATGTAAAGTGCTTGACTCAGTACTGAGATCATAGTAACTACTGAATAAATGTTAACTACTAATATTAAAATAGATGCTATAGCATCGAACTTGCTAGAATATTAGCGAACTTTGATTTTAAAAATTCAAATCACTCTTCTAGTCTAGTATATCTGAAAGAGAGGCTATGGTGTATTATGTTTTAAGTGACTGATCAGCCTTAATTGTGTTTTGAGGGTCAGATCCTAAAGCTAGAAGAGTGGGTAGGCCTGTTATTCTCAATTATTGCTCTATCAGAATATCTTAGTGTAATGAAGACCATATGCAACCATAATTTTTTATTCATTTCCTATAACCTTGACCTGAACATCCTGGTAGATGAATGTTTTTCTGCTCAAATCTAATGCTGTTTATGGTGTAGAGTAAAAATGCCTTTGAATGAACAGATTGTGCACAACAAGTGTTGTAATGACCATATGTGGGATTTTTATGATCACTCGAAATTGTACTCATTAAAGATAAAGCAAGACTTATTAGATGAGTTAGTACTTCCCTGAGCATTTTGACATGGCCAGAAATTATGGTACACAGGTACTTAAAATATCAGAATTATTCTCTGTGACAAAATAGCAGCAACAGCAAATGTCCACATTGGAAAGCTCAATTTGCTAAGAAGGTTCTTCTGGAGATTCTAGGCAAGGCTTGCTGGTTTGGCTTGTCATCAGTCGGAATCTACTGGACTCATATTAGAGATAGTCTACAAAGTTTTGAGAAACATTTTTGTTCCTCTGCGGAGTCTTTGCTTTGATGAGAATAGTGGTTTGTGCAACTGAGCAACTGATAATGCTTAGTATTCTGGATTTAAGTAAAGGCAGGATGATGTTTTAATCATGTATAGCTTTTACAAAGCTATTTTAATTGTTTTGTCACTGGAAAACCAAGGGTAGAATGCAGTTTTTTAAAAAAATTAATACTTTTGGTTTAAAGTATTTGTATTTTGGTAGTGTTTTCATACCAATTAATATGACATTCACAAAATATTTATAAATATATAAATACCCTTAATGAAGTTTTGTATTCCTTACTATCATAATAGTACACAAATTTTAAGAAAATGATTAGGGAGATGTGAGATACAGAGTATTGAGAGCTATCATCCTAAATATGTTTACTTTTTACATGATTAAGGAAATTTGTCTAAAACATACTTTTTTGAAGTCTCTGACTTTCTAAATTTGCTTTTTGAGGCAAGTGGCTTAAAATCTCTGTGCCTTAGTTTTCTATATTTGAAACTATGCCCGAGTTAGATGATTTAGAGTTTCTTGCACTCTGAAGAATCTATGAATTTAGAAATCGTTGGCCTCGAACAGGGACTGTGAGGGTTTCTTATGGAAACTAAGAAATGTCAAGTTTTCAGTAAATTATAAAGTGTAATAGAGGATTTGTGACATCTTAGATTGTTAAAAACAAGGGCAAGAAGACAGAGGTTTGGGAATAGATAGAAGGACATTGATGTCCGATTACAGTGATCCCTTGGATTTAATTTTATTTTTATACTCTCAATCTTACCTGATCTCTTATTTACTTTGCAACATTTACTGATGGCACACCCTTTTTACTTAGAAATATTCTAATAGCAAACAATATTGGGCCTTCTTTCTAGGCTGCTACAACTATGTGGATGATAATCCAGGAATGCAAATAGGTTGAGAAGGTAAAGTCAGGTTTACAGGATTGTGTTTGGAAACTTAGAGATTGATATTTATGAAGCAAAGATAAGAACTTTTGAGACTTGCATTTAATAGTTAAGAGTGGTAGTGACTTGTATGTGGCAGAATTGGATCTGCTCCAATATTGGTGTACTATTTTCATTGCAGTGTACCTGCTTGTAAATATAAAATCACTCAACCTCCTTCTCTTTCCTACTTTTTAAAACAAGTTCAGCAAATGCAAATAGGTAGTTAACCTTTAGTCTGTAGACTGTGGTGCCTGAGTATCATTTGCCAGTAGAAGGAACTTGTCAAAGGACTAAAAAACCAACAGAAAGTGATTCTCACTGACTTAAATTGGGATACTTTGAGCATCAAAAAGGAAAATAGCTGCAATGTATTAAACAAATTAAATATATAAAAAGCAGGGATTCTTAATGACATAAACCAAACCAAGCTGGACTTCTTCCAACTAAGGTAGAGTAACAGGGACCAGATTAACTTTCTTCTATGAAACAACCTAAAACTCCTTCACAAAAATATGTGAAACTTGGTTTTCAAGACACTGGATATCAGACAACCAAGGACAGTGATCTCTAAGATATAGGAAACAAACAAGAGGAGCTCTATGATTGTTTTAGTTTATTGCATTGAAAGAGTTTCCAAATTGCAACACAGGAAAGAGTAACTCAGGTAAAACATAGCCAACTGTTTGAGTTGACAAGACAGAACAGAAAGGCCAGAAGACAAAGGCAGCCAAATTTCAAAGGACAGAATAATGGCAGAGAATCCCAGAGATCTGTGGGGAACCCCCTTGCTCATACATTCCTAAGTAACCCATAGTAAAGAAGAAATCAAAATAGTAATTAGAAAGTATTTTGAAGTAATTGAAAATGAAAACACTGTGCATAAGATTTAGAGTGATGCTGTTAAAGTACTACTTAGATGAAATCAATATAACTAAACAACAACACGAGAACAAAAGAAAGATTTCAAATCGGTGACCTCAGCTTCCATTTTATGAAACTCAAAACAGAGCAAATTAAAATCAAAGTAAGAAGAAGAAACAGTAAAGAGTAAATAGCAGAAGATTAAATGGAAACAAATGAAATGGAAAACAAAAAGAAGAGAGAAAATGAATGAAACAAAAAGCTGATCTTTGATAAGATAATTAATAAATTTCTAGTTAGACTGATAAAAGAAAGAGAGAGAAGCTATAATTGCCAATATCATGGTTTAGAGTATTGACAAATCTATAGATTCTACAGATACTAAAAGGATAGCAAGGGAATATTATGAACAGTTTAGATGAAATGCAAAGTTTATTTGAAAGATATAAACTACTAAAGCTCACTCAAAGAAATAGATGACATTAATACCCCTGTATTTCTTAAGGATACTGCACCTGTAGTTAAAACCTTCCCACAAATAATCCAAGCCCAGATGGCTGCACCGGTGAGTTTTACCAAATACTTAAGGAGAAATAATATCAATTTAACACAACTCTACTAGAAATGAGGCAATCATTTCTCATAAAAATACTTAAAGACATTGCAAGTAAAGAAAATTACATATCACTATCTTTCATGAATACGATGAAAATATTCTAAACAAAAGTGTGAAAATTATGTCTAATGATATTTTAAGAAGATAATATATTATGACCCAGTGGGGTTTATCCTAGAAATGCAAGTTGATTAGGCACACAAAAATAAATCAAAGTTACAAGATTAACACACACAAAATCAGCTGTATTTGCACAGCGAAGGAAACAATAGAGTGAAAAGACAGCCTATGGAATGGAAGAAAATATTTGCAAACTATATATCTGATAAAGGGGTTAATATCCAAAATATTTAAGGAACCCAGCTCTATAGTAAGGAAACAACCTTATGAAAAAAATTTGAACAAAGGACTTGAATAAACATTTTTTAGAAAGAGATGTACAAATGGTTATCATGTATACGAAAAATATTTCACAGTATCACTAAACATCAGATAAATGCATACTAAAACCATAATGAGGTATTGCACTTGTCAGAATGGCTATTATCAAAAAGAGGAGGATATTGGCAAGGATATGGAGAAAAGGGAACCCTAGTACACTGTTCGTGGAAAATGTTAATTCGTATACCCATTATGGAAAATGGCATGGAAATGCTTCAAAAAATTAAAAATAGAACCATATGATCCAACAATCCCTCTGTTGGGTATATATTCAAAGGATACAAAAATCAGTATGTTGAGAGATGTCTGCACTCT